GACATTTACATGGCTTGGTGGCGGAAAATAAATAAATATATACACCCAACGGGACCACAATCTATTGTTTTATTTTACAGACAATAGAGATTTTTTTCTGGAAGGGGCTGTGAATTTTAACGAATTGCCTGAATACAAAATATTTAGATTGTACATTTTCGAAATAGTTTCAATATCTCAAATTCAAATTAGTTTCAAATTCTCAAGAAGGGATTTTTTTTTTTTAATGCTATATGGAAAGTACAGATTATAGATTAAAGTTCACTCTCTAATGAGCCGAAGCTGACAGATGTATAACGGCGTGCCCACACCGCGGCAGAAAAACCCACCTGCTCAGTAATCACATCAAGTTTGATCATCACTAACACCTAATCAACTTTCCCTCGTGTCAAAGGTCAGCAGTGCGGCTACAGTGGGCGTTGTCTACACCGCTCTTCTTCCTGCCTGGCTCTCATTTCACTGTTACATAAAGAGCAAACCTACTATTCTATTATTCAAGAAATAATTATAGTTCTCAGATTAAAATAGTTAACTTTCCATATTAACTGAATAGCAAATGAGATTATGGTTTAAAACTAACAAATAACAAATTCGTATCCACAGACGTTGGCGAGAGAGGAACTTGGGTTTAAGAGTAACTAACCTGGTAAAATTAGAATATTTGTTCTATACCCAAAAGAGCATAAAACTTATTATTTCTTTATGATTATAATTTTATATTTCATTTCCCTCAGCTGTTTTCCATACTAGCATTCTACTTACTGCAGTTGCAGACTATAAAATGTCACCTTTGCCACAAATGGTATTGACATGGAAAATTGTAACAGTCGTGATATGTCTGCTTCGGAGTCATGAATTTGTTTTTTATCGATAGAGTAATGGAGAAGTATAAATTTAGATTAATTAAAAAAACAATTTAAGGTCTGGAAATGGCAAAAATAGTTATAGAATGAAAATTAAAATTCTACTAGGATAGTAACTTTAGCGGGATGCTCTCCGCACAGGTAAATGGTTCTATATAATTATCGAAATGAACATGAAATTCTTCATCAAAAGTCAGATTTAAATTCCATCGACCATTTATGGCTTATGTCATTCAGACTTTGGAAATAAAAATATAACGTCGCCTAATTAACTTCAAATTTGATCACAACCCTAAAAAGAACTAAAAACGAAGGATTGCGTTCGAAATATTAATTTAAAAATTTTGAGTGAAATGAATAAATGAATTACTGTATAATACAGCCATGGACGAAAAATTTTGCTACATTCAAATTCTTATTTTATACTTTAATTTGTATTTATTTTTAGGCAAATATTTTGAAGAAAATTAATAAGATTATTCACAGTTATAAAAACAAATCTGAACACAGAATACTTTAATACAAATTTTAAATAGGCTTATTCCATTGGAGAATAAAGTTTAATGAATCCTTCAGACCGAATTTGGTCTGGTATGAACAATTCAAATCAAATTTGGTTGGTTCCATAAGTCTAAAACAATACGGTTTGCTATAACCAGGGTGCTACCATAATTTTAAGAAACATTATTCACAAAAAAACACAACTTTTTTTAACACTTTAACCACCACAGGGGACCCAAAGGCCCGCTCACTGATTTACAAGAGGTACGCAAACAAGCTTGTTCCAGGAATCGATGCGGGTTGAAACATCAAATTACCTGTGAAGAATGACAGCTTGTTTGTTTAAATTTCCAAAACTAATCCAAACATGTTTGTACACAGGAAAGAAATAACTACCAAGGGTAAAAATAAGGGAATAAAAATTAAATTAATATCCTGTGATATCCCTAAAAACAATGGCAGGCATATACAGCTCCTTTTTTTTATTAAGTTATCGTTAAAACAACGTTTGAAAGAAAAAAAAACAAAAACAATTTGGTCCATGGAGAAAGTCTCACTCAATGGTCTAAAGTGTTGAATCACATTATCTAGTAGACTTTAAGATAAAACAATTATTATCTACATTGATAGAATGAAAAACCTTTTTCTAGCATGTCCATTTTCCTAGAACATCAAAAGTAAATCAAAATAAAACTAGACACAGATCTTCAAACTGAAATGTAATTTCATAGTTTCAAAAATTTTATCTTCTTTATGAACCACTTTTACTGTGGGAGCTTATTCGCCAGTTTCTACTATATGTTGCATCCTGAAATCCACAAAAAACAAAAACGTTCACATAAATTTGTTTAAAATGCTATTTTCGGTCATCCTGCAAGATCTTAGCTTTCAAAAATGCATTTTAACGTTTTTATTCAACTTTTAAAAACGAGATATATGCCTTCCCGGCCGCATATGACTATGCAAAATTATAGCGCCAATCCCGCAACACTTCACTTTCTTGGGTATTTAATCATTTCTGAAAAGCAAAATAACTGAAAATAATCATAAAAATAACTGTAAGTGATTACTAAAAATTAAATTATATTATTTCTAAAAAAAGGACACTGTCAGAGGGGTTCGAATTATATATTTATTTGTATTTACCAATCTTTTACTTACCTAAAAAAGTTCCATATTAAAACATAGCACAGTTATAAATTATATGAAATATATATATTGTTTTTAATTGGATGGAAAAATGATAAAACAACTAAAGTATCATTTTAATCCTGTATATTTTTACATTAATTTTTTTATTACATTTAATTTTTGTAATTTTTTGCGTTTATTTATTACATTACACACACACACACACATATATATATATATATATAATGCAGGAAACTTGCATTTACTTGTTTAGTAGCCAAAGATTCATGTTGTGCCAAAATCAGCATTCAGTCAAAACCAAAATTTAAAAAAAATAATAATAAATTATAAAATTAACTTATTAACATTTATTTGATGTTAATAAATGTATAAAATAGATTTGTGCATTTAAATAGAATATAAATAAGATCTTGGATATGACACAAATAACAGAGAAAGGGCATACCTTGGGTTCAGAATAAATCTGCAACTGATAGCTTCCTCATGGTCAGAATCCGGAATGATCGCACTGAGCCAGCTACAGGGGACTAATGAATGCACCAACCAAGCCATAAGTCAAATAGTGAAGGCGGGACTTGTTCATACCTGTTTAAGTGGCGACCACCCAGGCGGGAAAGCATATATCCCAGCCGCAATAGTGACCTAACTCACTACCGGGAAGGCATATACCCTGTCCACACCAGTGACCCAACTCTTAACGGGAAGGCATGTATCCCGTCCACAATCAAAGGGTTAAACAAAGAAATTTTAATAATGATTGTATTATAAAGTATAAATTCACTAAGACATATATATTCCATTAATAAGTACTTATTTGTAAAATGACTGATATTTAAAGAAATCTGGTGCGCATCACACAATTTTCACTTACCACTCTTTTTTTCCAGCAGAAATAAATATTTTCAGGCAAATGAAGTAAAAGTAAAAATCACAGACAGTACAAAATATTATTTAAAACAATTAATTAGCGTATGTTTTTCACAGGCATCTACTGTGTTATTTATGCTTTTTTTGACACTAACCATTTCTTTTTACACACTCACCATGTATTATAATTATTTATTCAATTATAATAAATAATTAAGTGCAATAAAATATTTTTATCTCCAACAAGATTACCACTAATAAAGAAGGCTACTATAATTGTTCATATTTCATTCTAATTGATATATAAACACATTTTAATTTTTATAGTGCTGTAATCTATACAATTAAATATCAAATAATACCAACACTAGCATTTATGAAAACCACACATCTGTATATGTAATTATAATTTTATTGGAGCTCGTATTTTATTCAGCAAGTGTTACGTATGGAAACCTTTCTACCTTTCGGCCAAGCTCGGGTTTATTGGGGTTATCTATTATGACCCATCATATTATGATTATGACCCCTCATTTCTTATTATTATAATAATTGATTCCTTTAGTTCATTATAAAATTCTTTCATATTTTATATTTAACCATGTTTCATAGTTTGTTATAATATGAAGTGGTTAATTATTTCAAACAAAAAAATTAAAGGTACTTTAGAGAAAGAAATTTTGAAAATTATGCATTTAAGTCCTGTTACAGCACATCAAAGAGAATAATACCTATATTATATATAAAAGTGCTTAATTATACACCTATATATATAATGAATTTAATCAAAATTGTTAGAGCTATTTTCGAGAAAATCATAAAAATGTGTAAGATCAAAGATATAAAGTGGCACTTCCGCTTAGCCAATTTGTACAAAAAAGTTGCTTTCGCATCTCAGCCATATATCTATCTTAAATACGTAAGCTCAGTTTGGTACGACTTTTCATTTTTGAGCTAGGCTGTTCAAACACACAGACCATTTTGCAGGACTTGGTGATTTTGACTCAGGGATCTCAAAATGCGTATTTCCATTGGAAACTCAAATTCAAAAATTGTCATGATTACAATACTTTCCCTTTCTATATATTACATACAAAGGTAAGTGAAAGTAAAAAAAAATTAAGTTAGTCAAAGTCAATATTTATGTAACATACTTTAAATAGTAAAAATTAACAATACATTATTTACTGGCCAAAAATTTTTATTTAATCTTCTCATATTTCAATGAGGTTGATAGAATTCCACGTGCTTCACACTGTTCTAAAAAATACACACAAGATCTCACATTCATGGTCCTTCCATGCTACTTGCAGTAGTTGGAGTGGAGTGATTGTCAGAGGCTAGATTAAAAGTAGGCTAAAGGCTGCATTGTTATAATTGATCACAATCAATAATGAATCTGGCATTCAGCATCTTTTTTAGTTATTGACGACATATAGCTTGTTAACTTAATTTTTTTTGTTTGGCACTTAGTCAGTTATTGATGTCCAGTCTACAAAAGTTAATAGGACCAATCATTGAAATGTTAAATATATTGATTGAAGCAAACTTCGTAATCTAAGCAAAAGAAGGAAGAAAATGTGAATACATTTTTCAAAATATCTTTATATTGAAAAAGTGAACTCAAAATTACTAAAAGAAGAAATGCTATGCTGCAACAACTAAATATATTTTACAGATTGATATAAAACATAACACACACAAATAAAGCTCTTATGTAAAGTTGCAAAGTTATTTATTAAAAAATTATCTATAATGAGCATATGCTTTATTTGCTTCACACTGCCGGTGTAAATCTTCTTTCTTTTTTATTACACGACCCTGAAATGCAAAACAAATTGTTAATAAGCGGAACATCTGTAAGAGAAAGTTTTAACTACACAACACAGCTTTTACATATAAGGTGGTTTAAAATGTATGGGAAATATAACAAACGAATAGGAAGTGAATAATTTTTCAGAAGATTTTCATAAATAATTTCAAATTAGTAAGAAGGATGATAAAAGTTCACAGTAAAAATGTTGTTATTGATTAACTCAAAACATTTCTTTTATATTCCGCAGTTATTGAATTTCTATTGATATGTTTTTTTTTTATATTTTTATCGTCAGCCCACTGAAGTCCTATACTGCCTTAAGTATTTTTATGAGAATTAAATCTAAAGTTTAAATCTGAAATAATATGTTGATTAAAATGTACACATTATTAATTCCTTCTTCTTCTCGACTCAATTAGGAATTTCCATTATCCTGTCTAAAGGCAATGGGTAAATATTGAAATAATATAAAAAAAAAAAAAACCTTTTATTTCACATTAGAACAAAAGAGTATTTGATGGATATACTTAAAAATATTTGGAATATTTAAAAATTAAAATTAAATTGAAAATAGTGAAATATTACCCATATAAAATGATGGCTAAATGGCAATTCTATATACTACTAAACAAAATAGGCAGCTTTAGTTTAATAATACATAAGTAATAAATAGATTAGAAAATAATTTTATTCTGAGACAAAGCCCCTTTCGAATAACAAAAAAGTACAAAATTAAAATACTATATCTGGCCTAAATAATAACAAACACAAAAAGTAAAAAGAAAGAGAAATAAGTAAAGAAAAGATTAGTTAAACATACTATATACAAAATTTTAAAAAATCTATATTTAGGTTTATATAGGTATTTACCCATATATTTAGTAACAGCGATTTTGTATGAAAATGTAACGAACGTTACTATTATTCGCATAAATTTAATATAATTTATTTTAATTGTCCCTACTATCAATTGATCACATAGTTTCTTTATTATAAGCATTTAGAGAACAGGAGGGTTTTAGTTGTTTTTTCTTATAGGCTTTGATGAAATAAATGAAAATTGCTTTTTAAATTTTTCTCATGTTGACTTTAGTCTTAAAATTTCTTTGTTTCCTCATAATAAACACAAAAAATCTGGTTCGTGCAACACACAACTGTCACTTACTGCTGAACTTTGAATATAAATTATTTTCTGGCCATGTTGGGCTATTATAAAATTTTTGAATTGTATTTTTAATTGAGCTAAAGCTAAAAGATTACAGCTAACAAATCATAAATACTATTAAAATATCAAAAGTCGTATTTATTACATCACCGGTTGTTTATGGATTTTATGATCCGTTCATTATAGATTGTACGACTATTAGTTATTAAACTGCTATTTTCCATTGCAAAGTTTACTAAAACGGAATTAACAGATTTGCTTTGGCAGTTATAGGCAGGTAAAAGTTGTCACACTAATTGTAAGTGGATACTGTTAGAATATCGCCAAAGGGAAAATTCATCAAATTATTCACTAGTTTAATTTTCTAAAAGGTTGCATGCTGATTTTCCAGAATAAACAGACGATAGATACCTAATTAATTAAATATAATATCAGATCTAGAATTATTAAACTACAGTAAATATATTTACGGTTATAAACGTATCCGCAAAATATTTTAATGTCACTTCTTCTTTCACACAAGTACAATTAAATAGTATACAACAGTATCATTGCCTCGAATCCATGAGTTTTAAATACTTTTTCAAACTTATAAAATTTTTTAAAAGTTTACATTTAGTAAGAAAATTTCATTTAATTTCCTTGAAAACACCTGATTTACATTAAATAATATTAGTTTTTAGAAATTATTATTTATATTTTGTTCGTTACTCTCTGTTACCTTCTACAATTTTCTATACTATATATTGTTTTTTTTTTAATTCTTTGCTTTCCAATGATATATTTACATATACTTTCTAACTATTATTGCCAGATATTCATTTTCAATCTGGATAAGTATTTTTCTATTTTTCGCCTTTATTTAATTATCGAATTCTTCCAAAAGTTATATATAGCATTTTTCCATAACTCCTAGCAATGATAACTAGTTATTATTTATAATAAACCAGTTTAAAGGTACTTTAGAGGAAGACATGATAATGTTGGGATTTCACAAAGGGGAAACTCATCAAATTATTGATTAATTTCATTTTCTAAAAAGGGATATGACAATTTTCTGGAAAAAACCGACATTGATACCGTATTATGTAAATATAATACCAGATCTAGAATCATTAAACTACAGTAAATGTATTTAAGGTTATAAAAATATGCTTTATACATCCATGAAATGTATTATACAAAGCCTTTGACCGTGTTAGGAAAAAGGATATAATTGAGACACTAATCGAGAAAAGTTTAAATAATGGACTTATTAGTGCCGTAAGCAGTTTATACGGTAAAACTAGGAATATTGTTAGAACGAGAAACCATACCTCTCATGAGTTCAAAACAAAACTAGGTATATGTCAGGATTATAGCCTGAGCCAGCTTCTTTTGTACTGGTTCTAGATCTCACATTGGGGAGTGCAAGAGAGAAGATGCAATGTTTCCAGTTGGGTCACAGGGATATGCAGCCTACTCTTTACTCTTAGCTGGTATTTGTGAACGATCTTGTCATATTGGCCCAGAATGACCGTCCACAACAATATTAAATCCATAAAGAAAGAAATAAGAGAAATTAATATGGAAATTAATCCTGAGAAGACACAATGCATGTACATTGGAAGAAAACCTCACAGGGTTATCAGGGTATTGAGGGTTGACAGTAAGAGTTTGAAGCAGGTAGAAAATTTCAAATTCTTGGGTGCTCAATTCAACGAAAATGGATATATTGACGAGAAGGTGAGGCAGAGAATAGGGGCTGCAGGAAGAATGTTCAGCTAGGTTAGGAGAGGATTTCTCAACCTAAAAGAAGTAACCAAGGAAACGAAGATGACAGTCTACAGATCAGTATTCTCCTATATTGATGTATTCCTCTGAGCCCTGGAAACTTACTTCAAAGCACTGGAGCCAGATTCAGGCTCTTGAGATGCGATACCTGCGAAAGGTGGAGGATAAGAGTAGGAGGATAGGATTCGCAATACAACCATCCTAGCCAATCTCGACATCAAAGTGGTCAAAACCATAATAGAAGAACATAAGTTAAGATGATATGGGCACCTTATCCGTATGGATCAGAGCAAAGTCACAAAGAAGAAGTAAGACACTTGCATACAGGGGAGAAGAACCCGAACCTCCTGAGAAGAAGGCATGGGAGACGCGTTCTTGACAAGAGGTTTAGAATAGAACAGAAAATGAGAGCTGGTATAGGAAAGGTCCACCTGGTCCAAGCTCAACAAAAACCATCCTCACATTGCATAAGGATTAAAGGGGAACTTGATTATGATTATGATAAATATTTAATTCAAAATGTTAAAAAAAATACCTGATTTAAAAGTAAATCAATAAATATTGTGGCAAGAAGGATTAATTTTTTTTTGTAAATCTAAAATTAATTTTTTATATCCCAACATTTTTGTTTGATACACAGAAAATTTAAACAATAAATACCAAGCTTTTTTTTTTTTTTTCAATAAAACCATGCCTAAAGCAACTTAAAAATGACTGATACTTTTGAGAAAAAATGACACAAAGTTCTAAAGATTCTATAAGTCAATAAAAGCAATATATGTTGTTTTTCAATTTTTTTTACATTGTTTATGATATACATTTTTTTTAATAAAGCATTTTTTTATTAGATATATGAGTGTGTAATTCTTCCATTAATATTTTTTGACTCCTACAATAATGCAGGTACACAGTACAACAAAGTAGGTTTTATTTCCCTTTGACTTATGTTATAGTGAGAGCCTGCTGTATTTTAAAAATGACATTAAAAATAAAATTACATACATGTTTTAAAATGAAATTCTTACCTGTCCGTTACTAGCATTCACTAATTCATTAGCTAATTTAAAATAAAATCTAGTTGTTTTTGGTTCAGCTTTCCCTTGTTCTATTAGCCAGTTCATAGACATAAATGTGGCTTTTTGAGGAGTTATAGGAACAGGAACCTAATTATTCAATGAATAAATTTCAGTAATAACATTCATTAAGCTAGAGTATATATAAAACAATGAAATAGGGTAAATTTATTTTTCACAAGAGATACCTGATAGGTAGCGCCACCTCGTTTAACAGGAGTGAGCTTTAGCAGAGGTTTACAATTCTCAACAGCTGCATGGAACACTTTTAAAGGATCCAACACAATTTTTGCCTTTTCATCTGGATCCATTTCCTTGTGGTATCTCTGGATTTGTATCCTTTTTACTTGCTGAAGGGACTGTAACATAAAACGAATCACCCAAATACTAATAATTCAATTAAAGAAAAATAAATAACCAATTTATGTGTTACAAAATATAGAGCTATTGGGACTTGAAGTCTTAAAGGGATAAAGTTATAAACTAAATAAGATATACCATTCAATTATGATTCTGGAGAAAAAACATACAGTATTACTTATGTAATTTCTTCCTATGGAAGAAGCTTAAAAAAACATATATATAATTTGACTATGGTAAGAGAGAAAGTATTAATTTTATTATTATACCCCATAATACTTTCCAAGGTCAAATGGGCTTCACTCCTCTTCTTAAAAACAGTGCAAGTGAAAGTACATTTAGAAAAATTGGAAACCTGAAAGAATATGGTTTCCTCCAAAAATCCATAATCTCTTATTCAATGCCAATCAATAGAAGATACCTTCTGTTTTAATATTCTACCAAAACCTATAATTCTATATCTAAGTGACCCATAACAGTCCCATTCTGCTAAATAATGTAAGACAGTTTCTGTCACCTTCCAACACAAATGGCAGGTTTTGTTCTTTACTACCCCACAGATAGTCTTTTAAATGACTTTTGAATATGGGATGGCATGACAGTGCTTCAGTAGTTTATTCTTGTCTATACTAAGTAGCCACTTGGTTCTAGAGAGTGAAGATTTATTAATGAATCATTTGGCTTGCCTTAGATCTGCACAATTCCTCTACTCATTTCCAGCTTCCTTCCATGCCCAGCCCAGGACTTCTTTGCATTGGTATCTCTTAGACACCTAATACAGGTTCTGGTACAATGAGAGGAATCTCTACTCTATTTCTTACAAGCTTATCAGCTTCCTCATTATAAGTAACTCTCATGTGAACAGGGAACTAAGCTATTCACAACTTCTTTCTACTGATTTTGGATCTCCAGAGCTTGCCTGGATTCCCTCACAAGAATGAAGGACACCTTGGAGAATTCTAAGGCTTGAAGTGCCAACTGGCTATCAGAATAGATAAAGATGCCAGCTTTGTCACAGCCAATGACTTCTTGACTTGTGACCGCTGACAATATGGCAAACACTTATGGCTTGAATAGGGAGGAGTGCTCTCTACTATACTCCCGCCCCCGTCAAACTGGCTATTAAGATTATAGGAAAGATTAATAACAATAACAACCTGTAACCATTAATCTTCGGTTAACAAACAAAATCATAAACCAATCCCATCATAATATCTAAAGAAGTAGGTGAATTAGGTTAAGTAATTTACTAGAGCTTCTATTTAAACTTGCAATTGTCGAGTCCAATGCTTTTGGATACAGGTATCTAATTTTAGTATCTGAAATTTGACTTCTGTCAAGTGGCGGTGAGCAGTACTGTAAAATAGGCAGTTCTTTCCCAACTACCCTGGATATTATTGAATATCCAGTTATTTCACCTATTTCATGCCACTATGTATTACCTCTCATTCTTAAATAAGCTTTTGCCACTTTCCACTTAAACCATAAATAAAGAGGGATAAGGAAAAGTAAGACTTCTAAAGCCTCAGTAGATGGTGCTGAATGCTCTAATGATGGCCATAAATGCCATTCTTTGTATACAGCTGTCAATCATACACAAATGAGAAGAACTATTTAAGGCTATCAAAAACCCCTCGCATTCATACTAAATTGTAAGTTTTACAATCACCATGTTATAAGTACACAGGAAGTTTAATAAGTAGGGAAATATTTAAAGGAAATACAAATATTTTATATGAAGGTAAGTGAAAGTAAAAAAAAGAAAAATTGAAAAATATTTACAGTAGATGAGGAATCAATGACAACCGTACCTTCAAGATTCACTATCTCTGGTACAATGTTAGATCGATGTGTTATCTCAAAGTTATAAAGCACTATATTGGGTCAAAAAATTTATTCTGTCTCGATCCATCGACTTTTGAAACCTAACTTTTTCAATGACTTCTATTAATGTTGCTGTAGGAAAGATTAATAACAATAACAAACTGTAACCATTAACAAACAACAAACATAAACCAATCCCATCATAATATCCAAAATTACCTGACTAACTATTTTTCTGGCAAGCCCTTTTCTTCCTTCTCTCATCACATAATTTGTAAATCTTCTGAAAAAAAAAAACATAGATATATTACAGTTATCAGGGTTTAGTAACTTCTTACAGAATAATTAAAATTATCTTAAGTTATTACTCTAACTGATGGTCATAAAACTCAGAAGATGTTTGCTCAGTTTTTGCAGCTTTAATAGGAACATGAGCTAGTTTTTTTGCTTCACCAGATTCTTTTAACTTGTTGATATCTTCCTTTCTGAACACAGGATCAACAAAATTGGGCGCATATGCTGAATACTCTCGTGATGCAGCAAAACTTCTAAGAGGGGCAAAAACATTAATATCATCATCATAACATCATGAAATTTAAAATAAAATCAAAAAACTTACAATTTTGGCAAGTAAATCTTTCTTGTGGATCCAAGAGTAAAGGATAATAGTTGTTTGACTTGAGCCATTTACATGAACTGAAGAACTAATTACATTAGCTCAAATCCGTGATTAAAGGAAAATGTGGTGAGTTAATTTAAGTGCAAATCAAAAATATATATTAAATGATAAATTGTACAGGCTAATCAGTCAGAGAAGCACAAAACACAAGATAACCTACTCTAAAGGTTATGTTGTGGTTCTGAGACACCTCCTCAGTCCCCAACTTTAGTGTTATCTTAATTTTATCAGAATAATTAGATTTACTTTTATTGATTTCATGATGTAACACTTTAACATAATATTGCTAATCCAAAGCTTCTTCCTTATGATTCAATATGTTCTATATTAAATATTATTGGATTTTATATATTTACTGCACCTCAGCAGGAATATTCTCACTGTTCCTTTTCATTCATAAACAATGTGAAGAGTCTAAAGAATGGGGAATTTATGATTTAGAAGATTCTGTTTCTAAAGAATATGATTTTATTATTGGTAAATTTGTTTCTTATTGTTATTGATAGCTTTGTTTAGCTTAATTTAAAGAATTATGCTGCTTTAACTTCTTATAAAAAGTAGTGAAATTAGCAAATCTTGATTTTAAAACTTCATTTTACAAATTCTAAACATAAATAATTAATAAAACTTATATTCATTCCTTACAATTCAGTATTATCGTGCTCATTACATTTCTATGGTGATTTGTTTTCTGCTTATTGATATATAACAATAATGACTGACAAAAACCAATTAATTTTTTTTCTGTCTACAGTTGGAGGAGGTAGTGCGGGTTCATTAGTTGCTGCTAGACTTGCCAAAGATAAAAAATCTGAAGTACTTTTAATTGAGGCTGGTGGTCTTCCATCCAAACTTCATGATATTCCTGTCACTGCCCCAATGCTTCAAAGAAGTGATTGTGACTGGCAATACGTTACTGTGCCTCAAAAAAATGCTTGTTTGGCACTCCAAAACAAGGTTTATACATTGTTTTCTTTTTAAATCTTATTTTGACACATTCATTTCTTGGAAATTTGTAGCTTTTTCTTGATTAGATTTAAATTATAATCCATTAAAAAAAAAGTATGCGTACTTTATTTTAACATGGTATTAATTGCATAAATATATGTAATTAATACCATTAAGACTGGTCATGGTTAAATGCTAATGCAATGAAGAATCATTTAATTTTTTCCTTTAGACATTTCAGCCAAACTTTTCATGTCAGAGTTAATTTATTTATACATCTCCATGATCATATCATTACTTCTTGATCTAATTTTATTAATCACCTATAATTTGGAACATGTTTTTGTACTAATGTTCATAAATCATTTATAAAGGTAAACATATTTGCAGATAGTTTCATTTTCACTTACCTATATAAATTTTAAAATCTGAGTTTTCTACATAAAAACATGTTTTGAGATCTCCTGAGACCAAATAACCAAATCCTATAAAATTGTCTCTGTGTGTACATAAACAATCTAGCTCAAAAGCAAACAGTTGTACGCAACTGAAATTATGTTTACGGCTTTTGTATGTCTGGGTCGTTACAGCAAATTATTTTTTCAAAATCGGCTAACCGGAAGTGCTATTTTATATATAATTGATTTTACACCTTTTTACAATTTTCTCAAAAACAGTTTTAACAATTTTGATTAAATTCATTACTTCATTGTAAAATGAAGCGATTTTTATTATAATCTAGGTTTCATTTTCATTGATGTTCTTTAACTCCATATTAAATACCTAATTTTCAAAATTTCTACCTCTAAAGTACATTTAATTTTTTTTATTTCACATTGTAAAATGATACAAAAATTGGTTAAATATAATGAATGAAGAAAATTGGTTAGTAACTAAAGGAGAAATAAGGGTTGGAAGCCATGCCGAAACAGCTGAGAGAATTCTCCCTTTACAGATACCTGATACTCCTCTGTACAGGACTTTCTTATTGTTTGTTTAACTATTATATATCACTTATCCATAACTTCCTGAAAAGATTTTCATGCAAAACGTTGAGAATGTACTTATATAAACATAATAATATACAATATTTACTAACGTTAAGTTATATTTTTGACAAGTTTCATGATAAATGTTCAGAATTTTTTCAAAAGATCTATTTTTTCTCACAATAATTATTTTTTATTTTTTACAATAAATTAGGCCAATTATCACTAACATTTTATTGATACGCATTAATTTTGACGTTTTGACCATACTAAGGGTCATTTTCAAATCTTGATGAGTCCTCCGTTATATGTTCATCATTAATGTCATAATTAATATGTTCAGTGAACATTTATTTGTCGTGCTCTATAGGGATTTCGCCTACGTCTTTTCTGGAGGGACTGACGTAGTTTATTTACTTTACTTTAGTCCCTCCAGAAATGATGTAGGCGAAACCCCTATAGAGCATGACAAATTAATGTTCACTGAACATATTAATTACGACATTAATGATGAACATATAACGGAGGACTCATCAAGATTTGAAAATGACCCTTAGTATGGTCGAAACGTCAAAATTAATGCGTATCAATAAAATGTTGGTGATAATTGGCCTAATTTATTGTAAAAAATAAAATTTCAAGACACCAAAATTAGGATAAATGAACAGAAGAAACAATAATTATTATTGTTTGGTGTTATACACAGTCGCAAAAGGAAATGGAAAGTGATGCAAAAATATTAATTTAACAGATTCAATGGGTGAGAAAAATATGGTAATTAATTGTTTTAAATGAAGTTATACTGCCGTCCTTTTCAATTTGACTTTCCTATATGTGAAAATATCTATCTACTCTAAGGTTGATAAATGAACGATGTTTGATGCACGCACTAGAACAGATTTTTTATTCTTGATCTTATTACTTAATCAAGAAGCAGACCACAAGTCAATCACAAAAAACATCATTTAATTGTTAATTTTTTATTAAATGCTTATATTTCAGTGTCTTCAGGAGCTTCACCTCTCTCTCCTTCGCAATTCTAGACTAAAAAAATTCAGACTCATTGCTCAAACCCCACTTGAATATCTCCAACCTCATTTTTCTCAACAACCCACTTCTCATAATTTGTCTTTTCAGCCCTTAACTTCTTCTCATCTTCACTGCATTACTTAAATTCCAAAATGGAGACCTAAAGCTCAACCTCCTGACTCCACATCAGGCCTCCCTTTCACCACATTTTTTTTATAATACCATCATCTCAGCCATCCTATAGGTTGATATTTTTTATTTAACTTATGAATATTTTGTTGACTTTGACATTTTTCGGCTTTGAACAGTTTCCTCTTCTTTATATCTTTCTTTTTAGCCTTAATGAACTCCTACAATGTGGTTCGAAACAACGAATATGAATAAGTAGCAATTATTTGATGTTTCTTCTGACAGACTCCTGCTTCATTTTCTTAATTCACCAAATGTTTTTTTTTAGGTCAGTCGCTGGCCTATGGGCAAGATTCTTGGAGGAACTAGTAGGCTCAATTACATGATTTATCTTCGAGGACATCCCATGGACTATGAGTCATGGCCTGAATGGTCTTGGCATGATTCTCTTTATTATTTTAAGAAGTCAGAACATCATGTTGGAAGATTTTCAAGTGACAGTTAAGACCATTTTATTTTTAAATGGTATTTATTCAATTTAAATAGCAATAGTTAATTGTTTTATAAGAAGATAAGTTCTTGTCTATCAAAAGAATAAATACTAGATCTTATTTATTTTTCTTACTGAGTTTTAAAAATCGTGATTTTTTCAAAAGGATTTAATTTTAATTCATCTCTAGAAATTGTTTAATAATGCTCTGTGTAATATGGTATGAGAAATGTAAACAAAAATTGCCAAATGATATTTTATATATTTAATTCCTGATTATAATAATGTTATTGTAAAATGTCTATATTCATACAATTTTATACCCCTTTCCAAAATACTGTAATTTAACAAATTTAATGTTTAGCATAATGTATTACGAATTGTGTATTAGGAAGTGTGATATATCGATAATACCATAAAGTACGTTTAGTTGTAGTAACCTCACAGTGTTATCTTTTTCGATGAATAAAAGAGTTGTGATTACTAATATTGTAGTTTTGTGTTTTAATATTCAAATATCTAATATTTATACTTTTATCCTCATCCCCAAATGTTAGATATTTGAATATTTTAACTTTTTAACTTTTATTATGATATTTACAACTGTATTAGTATAAATACATCAAGTAAATGTGTACAGAGGAATATTATCACATGAAACACGCTTGTTGAAAAACTACCCATTGGTAGCACTCTAATAATATTTGAATATTAAAACACAAAACTGCAATATTAGTAATCACAACTCTTTTATTCATCGTAAAAGATAACACTGTGAGGTTACTACAACTAAACGTACTTAATGGTATTATCGATATATCACAAAAAACATATAGCAGAAATTGGCATTCCATTAAATCTCAATATAATCTATCCTTATGTACAGCTGTGGTACTCACACTCTGGTATGCATCATTGGAAATAGGTTTAAAAGAACATTTCTCTACATGTTAGCCATAGTTATCACTTTCCAATTATGTTTATTACATGGAGACCTGAATCATCAATTAGTTGAATGGTGAGGTAGGGTAGTAATTTATCCAAATAGTATACCCAAAATCCTGTTTAGGTTATAATTATGATAGATTTTTTAAAATGTTTATTTATGGAAAAAAAAATCTTATTTAATCAAAAGATTTAATCAAGCATTACAAATTACATTTTATGAACATTTATTACAAATATAGGATTAACTATTTTATCCATTTAAGAAAAGAAAATTTTATTGTCACCTAACATTTTTCTACTAATTTTCTTTGACAAGGAGTAACTTATTTATTAAGTTCATTCCATCTCTACATGCAATATATATCTCAAAAGTAAAAATATTTATTATTTTGAGAATTATAGGAAAGAGTTTTTTTTTCTTGTATTTCTCTACTCCTATGAAGAAATTTGAATTATCTTTATAAATTTATATGAATGAAACTCTTACTTGTTACCAATTTATTGTAAACGAGTATAATTTCTTCTGTCGAGATTTCGATCTCATGCCTCATCTTCAGAACCTCAATCATTATTTAAAATTAGATCTTATTGTATTTTATGTTATATTCTTCATTACTAAAATATGATATAATTAAATTAAATGATAACATACTATACTCAATCAGTAGTATATCTTTAAAAATAATTTACACCTTGCCTAACTCCCCATATGTATATGTATAAAGTACTATCAGAAGTAAATGACTAAAGGCAATAAGTTAAGAATGAGAAATTATTATTAAACTATTGTTTTTGCCAATGTAATGTTGCATAACTGACAATTTCATTTCTCTTATTATTTACAGAATTTAATCATGGTGATTCTGGCCCAGTTTATGTATCTGATATTCCTAATCCTACTGAACTAGGGGATTTGCTTATGAAGGCTGGAACTAAATTAGGTTACGATTGTGATATTGACCTGAATTCTAACATTACTTATAAAGAAGGTTTTATGAAGACACAAGTAACTGGAAGAAATGGTGCTAGATGGAGCACTGATAGAGTTCTTGAAATGGCTGGCTCTAATCTTCATATAATGACATATACTGTTGTTGAAAAGGTAGACACCTTTCTTTTTCTTGTTTTACCGTTCTTATTAAAATATTTATTTATTTTATTAATTTGAAAGTAAAGAATATGTCCTATTTTTTATAAGTTGAAAGTAACTATAGTAAGTGGTTTTCTTGTGAATTGTAGGTTCTTTTACATAGAGGATTTGAGGCTTATGGGGTTTCATACAAGCGAAAAAGTGTTAGAGGAAAAGCATTGGCCCGTAAAGCAGTAGTCTTATCAGCAGGTGTGATTGGTACACCTAAAATTCTCATGTTGTCAGGTATTGGGCCTAAGGAAGAACTTATTAAACATAATGTTAGTACATCATTTTTTTCCAATTTCATTTCGATATTTTGTCTTTATTTAAATAATAATCCTAAAAAGATGAAAAATAGTCAGGATAGACAATCAATGTTGCAAAAGAAATAAAAAATTAACAAATAACAAAAGTAATAGTTGTTAAATTTATTAATAGTTATTAAAAAACCATTTATATTTGCTGATTTTTATTTCTCTATCCTATTTTTTGCTTACTCCTTATTTATTGAATTTATTTATTTATACTAATCATTTGGTTAATTTATTTTTACTTTTTATATATCTTTTCATTCTTTTATCTTTTTTCATTTATTTATAACAGAAAAATATTTTCTAAGTATATTATTATGTTTTTGTTACTGATATGTTCTATATTAGCGTTAACTTGTTTCTACGTTCCACCTTTCTCTTCTTTTATTTACATACTTTTATATTTATCATTTTTATGATGCAATTGTTTTATTTTCAGCCCTGATAATGACCAACATGCTTTGGTCGAAACATAGTAAAACATAATAAACATTGACTGCATGTTCTGACTATTTTCCATCTTTACAATATCAACAGTCAACTATATATCCATTTCTAAATAAAAGCATTTTTTTTTTTTTTTAATTGGTAGAATTAGTTATTAGATTTTGGGCTATAATTTACTTGTCAGGGAGATAAAAAAAATACTAATTTCTTCTATATAGACATACTTTTTGTTTTTGAAATGCCATATTCAAGGAACAATTTTTTCCAAGATTACGGTCAGATCATGATTCTACTTTTTGAATTTGACTATTAACCAAAGGAGAAACAAGAGATTGTAATGAAGGACTGAAGATATCTGTATTTGGCCAAAATGTTTAGATAGACTTCAAAAACTAATACGTTCTTAATATAATATATCATAGTTGAAGAACGTATCAAGTTTCATATTACTTATGTATAATTTTAATTAAATCATATTATGTATGTATTTATGTATGAAAATACCTATTTCTAATTTCTAAGTAGGGTGGTAAATGAAAGTTGTGAGATCACTGCACCAGATTTTTAAAAAATGTCTTCTAAGAAAAAAAAAAATCTTGGTTGAAAAATAATAAATAAACATGTATAATATACATTAAAACCTCTGTATATCAAACTTCTATATATTGATGATTTATACGTATCAAACTTTTTTAAGTACCTTCAATTTTTTATTTAAAAAAAAATATTCTGTCACATTAAAAAATGCTGCAAATTATTTCTTAATGGTTTATTATTTCTAAAAAAGTATGCATCTAAAGTAAAATTACCTTTCTTTTAATGAAGAAAAAGAAATAAAAGGTGATTCTCATTATTGCTCTAAAGATTTTTTATTCCATCATTAGTAATTTTCTAAAAAAAATAGCATATTTTCAGGAATCCATAATCCATAAACAAAGGATACAACCTTTGCAGTAGAACATATAAAAAATATCTAGAGACCATATCTTTGCTGTCTGATTTTAACAATTTTGTTTTTTAGGAAATTAGGTAAACTTTTAAATAATAATCATCAACAAAAAAGTGTATACTTTTTGAGTTATTCAGAAATCTAATTTTACCATCCATCGTAGCTTTTTTTCCAGCTTCTTTTGGTTGAAGTATTTCATATATATAAATATAAGAAGACTTTAGCCAAGTTTCATTGAAATCAGTACGTTCATTTAGGCGCTACAATCTATAGCACACAGAGTTTTCGGCCACCATCTTGAAAGGTAAAGGCAGATAATAATGACGATGTAGGAAGATCATCCTCTGATGACTTCTTACTTTAAATCCAAATTTGAAAAAAAATTGATCCAGTAGTAGGAGAAAATGTGCTGACAGGGGACGGTCAAAAAAATTTATTTTTGTTTTTTTGAATTCTGCGTATCCTGAAACATAAAGCCTCAAATTTTGAGGGGAGGTTAAGTATTTGAATTTTTGGGTAGATTACAATGGTTCATTATTGAAAATAATAAACTAACAGTAGAAAACAATTCTTATCTAATAGAGTGCTTAGTTTGTCCTCGTAATAATTAAAAAATGAAAATTAAATTGTTTTACAAAGCTATGAAAATTCAGGAAAAACTGTGTTAAAGAAGATCTTTAGAGGAGTGAGATTCTCTAAACCTCATTCAAAACACAGAATGAAATTTTCATTTTAAATAAGGTTTATTTGTTGGAAAATTTAGAAGAATATTAGAAACAATTTAATGCTCAACTTTGATAAAATATATGAAGCATTATTTAAATATAGTTCTTGTTATATTCTTTAAAAAATGCAAATGTATTTGTTTAATCCTAAAAAAATAATTATATTGTTTTAGTATAACAGGAATAAAGTTAAAAATCTTTCTATATATTGAAAATTCCATGTATCATATTTTTTTCAAGAAACCTATGTGTTCGTGAAATAGAGATTGAATGTACTTCTGTAAGGTAGTAAGTACTATATTTACGATTGATTTTTTACTTTCCATCTTTGCAGAATAGCGACCATCCAATAAAAACAAACAAAAGTCTAATGAAATTAACTTTTATAATTATGAAAAGATTTGAGTTTTACTTTTTTAAGTTTGATTCATCAAATTAATTGTTTGAATTATTTTAATTTATTGTGTAATTGGAAAAAATATTGGATGGATCCATAAGTTTGTTTGGTTTTCGAATGGTGAAATAAAGCATGTTTTTTTTCATACAAAGAATACATTTTTTTTATAATGTATTTGCCGTTTTTATTAATGACCTCTTGCAACCTTTCTAAGAATTTCATTATTCCACTCTCTTAAAACATCCGGAACTTAGAAATCAAAAACTGATCGAGATATGTTTTCACATCTCTTTCATTAGCGAACAATTTCCCGTTGAGAGATTTTTGGAGAGACCGGAATAAGTAGTAGTCGAATGTTGCAAGGTCTGGTGAATATGGTGCAAAACAACCAAGTTGCACTAACTTTAACTGTGTGGTTATTGCGGAGTGTGATCTGGCGTCTTCATGGTGGAATATATCTTTGCGATTGACTAGTTCTGGGCATTTCTGTAACAATGTTTGGTCCAATTTTGCTATTTGCGTGCAGTAGATCATGGAATCAATTCTTTTTCCTTGTGGAAGTATCTTGTAAAATAGCAGGCTGTGAAAATCCCTGTGTATAGAAAGAAAAATCTTTTCCGGCCTTCAGAGTGGCATTAGGTGGCCGTCAGTGGTTTTCCACGATCTTCTGCGCACTACATTGTCGTAGATGATCCACCTGTCACTACTGTATTGAGAATAGATCCGTCTCGTGCTGGTTCAGAAGAGAGTTGCGAATTGATGTTCGGTTGACCAAGTTTGCCTCACTCAGTTTGTGTGATCCCCAGACATCGAGGCGGGACATGTAGCCAAGCTGTTTTAAGTGCCTTTGAACGGTTAAAAATACATATTTTTAGTGTCTCCACAATTTCTCGTACCTTTAGCAACCGGTCTTTTTCGATTAGAGCCTTGATATCACTCAAATCAACGTCGGTGGGCCGACCGTTCCGGGGTGCATCTTCGAGACTCATATCTCTGAAATGAAATTTTGGCAAACCATTTTTGAGCAGTACGTTCTATTAAGGTATCGTTCCCGTATACCTTACATATCTTTTGGAGGACCTCCGAAACTCGCTTTCCTTTTTTGAAATAAAAAAGCCAAAAATGCATTTATCATTCGACATATTCACTACGCTGTAGCACCAACAAAACTAATGGCAATGAAACCAAACACAACAGTTTCGAAGTGCGTACTTTGACTTTTCCGATAAGTATCATTATTGTCAGATAAGGCAAAAAGAACTGGAAATATTTGAAAACAATTCACACTACAAACAAAAACAGAACGAACTTATGGATCCACCCAATATATTATATTAAAGAAATTCAAAATTATTTATCTTGTGTGAATTTTTTATATTTGTATGCCTAGCTTATTTTATTTATTTATAAAAGCCAATAAAATACATTTTAAACTAAATATTTTTATCCGGAGGCAGCATGGTGAAAGAAAAAAAATATAAAAATATTTGATGGATGAAAGTTTTGAAGCTGAAAACACTATTATAAACTAAAAAGTAAAAGATATTCACACCACTTTTCTTTAGTATTAATCATCTTTCCAAATAGAAATCAGAAAAATTGTAGACTTTTTCCATTTTTATTGGAATAATCTGTTAATTGATGAACACAAATTTAAAATTCATGTAAATACCCAATTATTTTTTATGAAACCCCTTTTAGTTTGTGATGAGAGAATTTTATGTCATATAATTGTTTTACAAAACTAAAGGCAATACCAGCTTATTATATAACAGGCCACTACTTTTTACATGGACTTACATGCACATAGCCTATTCAAGGCAGTTTTCTAAAAGTAGTAAATCTGTAGTCTAGTAGAAGGCTGATTTAAAAAAAAATAAAATAAAAGTAATTGGGAATAATAATAATCTATAATATTATGAAAAACAAAACAGGATAATTTTATGCTCATAAACCTTTTTCAAATGTTTTTAATGAAGACATTATACTTTTTATTTAAGCACATAATTCACATTTAATTACTGTTGTGTTTTAGTTTATAGATTTCAATTCACAAATTGCATCTTAGACATAATTTTATATTTGTTTTATTACAGATAAAACCCAAGGTAACATTGTCAGTTGGTAAAAATTTGCAAGATCATGTTACAACAGGACTTGACCTAATTTTTCTAAACAAATCTCTTCCCATTTCGTGGACAAGTATAGTGAATTCTCTTCCCAATACCTATGACTATTTCCTCCATGGAACAGGTATGTTATAATAATACTTTTATTTTGATTACTGTATTGTGCATTTGGTTGAAAAATAATTTAAATTTAGTAGAAATATCATTTACCACAGATATTCGCAGAGGTATTCACAAAACCTTTGATATATGATTAGTGTGTTACAATCCTAAAGTTAGCATGAATTTTAATGAACCGTTCAGCTAACCTGCTTTGATGTTAGTAAAAACCTGCTAACTAGCTATAGTTAGTTAAAACCAAACCTCGACTTATGATAACTTTGGCTTCACTTATTGATTATAATTTTGACTTTTTTTCTTTTATTTAAACATGGTTTAATATATGAAGTGTGACAGCCATAAAGCTATAAGGAAATTAAAAAAAAAAACATTATGGACTTTGAACTTCATCTGGTTTTCCCTAATCATGTAAACAGATTATTATCTTCTTATGTCTAACGTTTTCTAGATTTCTTCCACATCCAGATAAGATGATGTTGTGTGTGCATGTAATAGAGTGAGTTACAGAATTTAATTAATAAAAAATGTTCTTTAGGACTTCTATTATTTAAAACTTTTTTCATAAACTTAAAATGAAACTTTGTATAAAAGTTTGATTATCCTAATATTCATAAATGAAGTGCAGTTTATAAAGTGAGTCATTTATTTCCAAACTGAGCCCTAATCATTATTAACAATTTTTCAAGAAATGCGAAAAATTCTGTTTTCTATTCCAAATGCAATATAAAAACCAATTTTTTACTAAAAATAAATAAAGAAATTCTTTTTATGTGGAACATATTTCCGAAAATCACTGATTATTCTAGTACTAATTGAAAACCATTGAAACTTGAATAGGGTCTCTTTTGGAAAGAAAAACATATCAAGGCTTGTTTTTGGACAGAAAAAAAAAGGTTTAGGGTTTGTTTTGGAAAGAAAAAATTTTCTATATTCTAGAGGGAAGTTAAAAAAAGTATACGATAAAAAATTAACTTTTTTTACAACAAAATTATTTATTTTTAATTTTCATTGGAATAAAATGGTTAAAAAAGCTTTTGATGAATTTTTCTCCCAAGAATACCTAAGAAATGCAAGAAATTAACTTATTTTCATGACACTTTTTTTAATATTTAAATTTTTTTTGACAAAAAATAATTGTACTATAAAATTCATTGGTTATTTTTACATGGGGATCAACACATCTCAATTTCCATAAAAAAACTATTAGGGTTCACTTTTCAAATAAGAGACTCAATTATAACATTATAAATAAAGCGCATGATAACAAATTTACTTTACCAGATCTGTCTCATTATTTTTGTTTAAAAATATTTTTCTTGATATTCATCAAAAATATTTGAATAAAATGTACTTATTTACTATTATATCCTAGAACTTACTCTATGTTCCTCAATCCACTCTCTCTTAATACCAGATCTCCACCTATAGAACTACTTACCCCTCCCATAAAACCACTTCCTTCAGCAAATCCTTTGTCATTCATCCTACCTCCTTATGAAACACCTTACCTATCTCCATACATGAAACCATGTCCACAAAGTCCTTCAAACAACTCCTATTCCACTACCTCCTACACATTTAAACTTCCGCAAGCTTGTAAAAATATTTAGGTTATGTAATTATAGTTTCTCACCAACAGTTAATTGATAAGAGCCAATTTTTTTGAATTGTATCTTTGTATTTTCCTTAGTATGTTTTGTATATACTGTATATATCTAGATGCCAGATTGATGTATCTATTTTTTGAACTCTGCTATTATTCTAAGGAGACTTCAGTCCACGAATAAAATTACTTTTCATTTTATTTTGTTTAAATAAGGAATATGAGATTTAACTTATATTTTCTGGTCACTTTGGACCTTGGTCCATCAAGAAATTTGAATATCCTTTGTTCTTTAGGATCTCCTCTCTGTTCTGCTTACCTAATATGGTAGTTCATAATTGAAAACCAACATGTTTTGATTGAATTGGATTCCTTATTATTATGAAAGTCACTTATCAAGTATTCCTTTAACTCCTTTTTGTTCTACAATTTTTAAATATAGTAAAAAAACTAAAATATTTATTCTCAATATTCTTTTCTTTTATTTCGGTTTAGTATAATATATCAGTATCTAATTATTTTATTTAAGCCAACATTACTCCGAAGTTTTCACTTCAAAATCCTACTACTACGTTTCAGCTCATCGAGCCATTTTCAAGTCTATCATGTACTTGTCCATTATATTGCTTGTGTAAAATACATGCGACTTCTCATAATAGTATTATGCTCATCATATATATTTTTAATATATTATGTGTCAGCCCACATGATGTCAGTTTCATTGTTATTGAGCGAATGAAACAGTCCAGAAAATGGACAAGTACTTCATAGACTTGAAAATGGCTCGATGAGCCGAAATGTCGTAGTAGGATTTTGAAGTGAAAACATTGGTGTAATTTTGGCTTAAATAAGAAAATTAGAAACTAAAATATTTAGTTAATTATTTTTGTATACAAACTAATGTGTCATATCTGAATCCTTTATTTTTCCCCAAAAATTTTAATAGCAATGTTAAGTTTTGTTTTGTTTTTTCTTAGGTATTCTAACACACCCTGGAACAGATGTAATTGGTATATTTCATACAGATGGTGGTCTACAACCAGATATACAAATCATGGCACTACCTGCTGGACTTTCAACTGATGCAGGTGTAGTTTTAGCTCCTGCAATGGGTGTTTCCCAAGAGGTGGTTTATTTTCTTATTAAGGTTTAGATGAAATTTTAGATGAAAGCTATTTTTCGATCTAATAAATTAATACTTGAGTACAAATGTATTAATGGTTATTGAGAAGAATAAACTATATGATCTTTAGAAAATATATCACTTGTTAAAATTATTTGTTATTCTTATTTTTTTATATTTAGGAAATATATCAATATTGCTACATTTAATTTAATTTAGATTTCTCAGGAATTATAATTGGACTAACAATTTACAATTACATGAATTACAAGATGAATATAAAATACATGTTATTTTTATTATTTTACTTTTTTTTTGTTTACTTTTTGCCAATGTTTAAGGCTACATTGTAGGCCATCTGGGTTAAAAACAGTTACAAAGTGAAAATAAATTCTGTACAGTGAAGGGAGAAATTCAGAACATTTTTACACAGGTATTAATTTATGAGTACAAGTATTTATTTATCACTTCTCTTCTTTTTGACCCTTACTGGTGGCCTTTAACATGAATAGAAACATAAAATAATGCAATATGTGGAAATGTATCACTCAACTAATAAATAATATGGAAATAACCCTGTACATCCTAAGGAATGGAATATATTTGCATATCTACTTAAACACATTTAGTGAAGTAGACACTATGAATGTTGAAACTTGGTTTATTTGTCACTTTACTTCAATTAAATGTTACAGCTCCTTGTGGATACATTGTATGGTATGGTATGCCATATGTCTGAGCAGAAATACATATTTTGATTCCAAATAACTAATTCTCGCAAAATGGTCTGTGTGTGTTACTGTATAAATAACCTAGCTCAAAAATTAACCAAATTGCTATGTATTTAATAAGAGATTTGTTTATATTTTGATATTTTCAAATAATTTTTAACATTTCATTGAAATAAGCTTGATTCTAAACCAGTGAAAAATAGGGTGAAAGTCTACTAATTTAAACATGCTTCTCTTCATTGCACAGTAATGTGATTAATTAACTTTTATACTTTAAAAACTAATTCCAAGCAAATAAGATTATCGTCCGGGAATCGGTCTTAAAAAACCTTCAGTTACTGCTAACTATTTATTCATGCTATGATTTGTTAATTGGATAAATAGTTAGCAGTTATTCGATGTTTTTTCCTGACCGAATCTCTGATCTTCTCTTTTTTACTAAATAGTTATTATCTTATTTTATGGACATTAATTTTTTTCAGGTATGGAATAAATATTTTTCTTTATTTACTGGTAAACAAGTGGTTACTTTGCTTCCTGTTCTGCTTCACCCTCGCAGTAGAGGAACTGTCAAACTAAAAAGTAAAAATCCTGAGGATCAACCCCTTATTGATCCTCAGTATCTTTCTCATCCAGATGATGTTAAAAATTTAATCAAAGGTAATTTTATCTATTCTTTCTTTGTATGGATTACTCTTATAACAGATATTATGGCATAAAATTGTCAGTATATCAATTCAGATTTATTGTAATTTATGCTGTTATAAGTTTCAAAATATTGTTTGATTATGAGATTATATTTTCATCGTTTATCTTAAATTCTTGTTACAATTAAAAAAAAAACCTTGACTATGGTAATAACTCTACCTTTCTTTAATCCTATTCATTTAAAGCGAAGAAATATACTTTTTATTCTATATAAGCATATTGGTAAAGATAGTTGATCAGAAGCAAACAAAGTATGAAACTGCATAAAAATGTGAGCCCTAGCCATGACAGCTGAAATAAAGGCAGTGAAATTTCTTTTTGATAATGTTTTTATCTATACAGTAAACTTTCTGGATTGCTGCAAAGTCTACTTTATCTTTGTCTAAGTTTATAAGGAGTGTTTGAAGTGTTCCTAGTCTGTAATGATAAAAGATAAAAGCCTGTATTACTATAATCCAAGAAGGGTCCTGGGTTCAGTACTATTTAAGGAAAGTATTGTTTCGATGCCAACGGTTCTGCAGGAGATCAGGCCAGGATCACGCTTAACCACTAGATTTCACCCTTAATTCATTATTTGACTTTATTGAGGCTGGATGTGCCCTGCCTTCGCCCGATAGCCGATGAAACAGAGTAAATAATTTTTCTGCCTTTAGCTGGGATTCGAACCTAGGATCTCGAGCATTGGAAGTTCAATGCCCTACCTCTGAGCTAATTCAGTCTCTTGTGTAATTATAAAATAATCCAAAATCCTGGCCACTATGGCATTTCAGGTGTTAGATATTCTTTATGAATGTGAAACATCATTTTGTGTTTTGTAAAGAGGAATCCCTTAAGAATTTTTCTCATATATTATCCATATATCGGGACTTGGAAATTTAGACAACTACTCAAAACAGAATTATATGGCTTTTATCTATTATTTCAGCTCTACTACAACACTAATAGAAATAAGCTTAAAATATGTATATATCATACTATACTTGTATTATATATTATATTTATAAATTATTGGGGTGAATGTAAAACAAATTACTCAAGTAAGGTAACCAGTGGGGAAATACCTAAGATATGAGTATATTATTGTCTCAGATTTTGCATATTTCAGTTCAGAAAAGTATGTTGACAACACTAGTAGTATCTGCTACAAATCTCCAGGTTTTCTCACCCTTATTAATACTTTTCAACAATGTATCACATGATCATATGATTTTGAAGGTTTTTTCAAGAAAACCATGTTTTCCCCATTAAATCTGATTTTCTCTAATATAAATGAATATTTCTGAACTTAGGTCACCATTTTTGGAACCTACAATAAATATCTTAAATTACCAATTTATTGGTAAAGTAAGTAAATATGAATTAATAATTTCAGAAATACTTGGTAGTCATGCAATAAAGTTTCAAGCTACATTCATGGGGATCTCATAGAAGTTGTTTCATTTCATCAGTTGTTCAAGGTTATTCCCAAGTTTGTAAAGTCAGTCTGATTTCAGAGAATTCAATATTGGGAGGTCAAAAATTACCACAATAGAAGTTGGTATCCAATATTTTTTGTTCTGCTTTTGCTATCTGATATAGGATGAGAAGTTACTGCAACAATTATTTAGAATCTCCTTTTATTGTCTCTCCAAGAATGATATATTACATTTGCAAGTTTTCAAAAATGTGATATTGGCAAAACGATATATATTACCAACATTATGCTTTGTATAAATATGGAAAGAAAAATGATAACATAAATAAATGATCATCAAGGCTTAGTTACCAGAACAAAATGTATTAAAATATATAAAACAGATATGCCACTGTGAAACAGTAAAATAACTTCATTATAGTATGACATTTTTACTATAATTATAGCTAACAAAAAACTGTTATTAAACTTTGACTTTTGTTAGTTTCACTAACCTATACATGACATACATAATTACTGAATATATGGAGTTTGTGAAAAAATTTGAATCCGAGTTTTCAATGGAAATATTTGTTTTGAGATCTCTTGAATAAGTTACTAAAAATATTCTGCAAGTTATAACAGCCTAGCTCAAAAACAAGAATTCTTCAAACTATGAAATTATGTATTTCAAGTAAGTATATGTCTGGGATGTTACATATTTTTCTTTAGAATTGTTAGAATTGACCTATCAGAAGTGCTGCTTTATATATAATCAATTTTAAGCTTAGCTTTTAAATTTCAATTTAAAAGCTAAATTTCATTAAATTTCAATCAATTTTAAGCTATATATATATATATATATATATATATATATATATATATATATATATATATATGTGTGTGTGTGTAATATACAGGGTATTTTAGGATTAAGTGGCCAAACTGCAAAAATGAACTTTAAAAAATTTTCTCTGAAGGCATGTCCGCAAACGCTTTGGTTAGGAGATATTCACACCTAAAGAATTATTTACGTTATATGAAATAAATAAAACCTATTTATTTGTTTTAACTACTTTATTAATTAAATGTAAACATTAACATTAAATGTTGTTCAAAGTGATTTCCTTGAGCATTAAGACAGGCTCAGGATCTTTCTTCAACAGCAGTAGTGGCAGAACGGCACTGGATATGTGTTATTGTTTCACAAGAGTCAATTATCCTTCTTTATAAGGAATTAAGGTCACTGACTGGATTTGCATAGACTTTTTGTTTAATATCATCTCAAACAAAAAAATCTAGTGGTGTCAGGTCTGGAGAACGTGCAGGCAAAGCCTCTGGTCCTGCATGGCCAATTCATTGAGTGGAATATGATTGAGCAAGTCCGGTCAATGACCTTAATATGTAGATAAATATATAAATAATAATATTTCTATAAAATATTATATATATTAGTATACCTAGGTTGTTTTCCATTTGATAATAACAAAAATGTTTACAACATGCTTCTCTTTGTTATCTTTAATCCACAAGTAACATTTCATCATAATCTAAAAATTTTGTTTACAGTGTAAAATTACATGTTTTAGTAGATGAAGTTGCTTATTTTAAAAGTCACTCTGCATCTGTTATTTGGGATTGATCTTTGTTATAATCTTATTTCTTTCAGATTTTTTTTTTTTTTTTTTTAGGAATAAGACTAGTCGAAAAATTGGTTGGAGCAATGCCTGGTGCAACCCTTAACAGCCATTTAATGCCTGGTTGTGAGCACCTGCAGTTTGGTTCAGATGGATATTGGGAATGTTATATAAGGCACCTTACATTGACTGCTTACCATCCGTGCTGCACTGCTGCAATAGGATCTGTTGTCAGCTCTCATCTAAGGTATTTTAGATAACTAGGTTATAGTAGTAAAATTATTTAATTACAGTTTATTATTTTGTTCCTTTTGTTCTATAGGGTTTATAATACCAATCAGCTTTATGTTGCCGATGCATCTGTCATGCCTTCTCTTACAAGTGGTAATATCAATTCAGCTGTGCTAATGATTGCTGAAAAAGCAGCTGATATAATACTTCAGGCTTCAGCTACAGCTCATTCTATGTGTCATATTAGTGAGATTTTTTTACCTCGAAAGTTGGTATCAGTCAAATAGTTTAGTTTGGTATTGACTGTATTTATATTCAGTCATGAACTAAATAATACTCATACACATAATAGTTCATGACTTAGTAGTTAAGAGATTACAGAGTTACCATTACATATCATGTTAATATTTGTATGTTATTTTATTTAAAAGTTGTTAGGTGCCATTTTAGTTTTCTAGTCATACTAAACTATTACAGTACTGTGATTAATGGGAATATATTCAAGTGAAATATCTCCTATATCATAAAAGTGTCATTATATTTATCTGTTAGCTTTAATTTTATATTAAATGTAGGCGACTTATTCAGTTGAACCTTTTTGTTACTTGAATGTTCTCAGAATTACATTTATATTAATAACTTCAACCCACTGCCCAATTGTCAAATGGAAATTTGAATTCAGACTGGTACTGTTTATTGTTAGTTACTGACAGAGTATAAACTCTACACTTGGATTTAGCTTTCTTTAGTTAATGGTCGTGACAAGGTATTTTCTGCCCTAAAGTGGTACACTTCACTTCGTTAGGGAGGGAGAAAAAGTGAGTAGAAAATGCATAGATTTTTTTATAAAATTAAGATCTCTATTGCTGTTTACATTAAATATACATTTATAATTTCTTACCACCACTTGCCCAGAGTATTGTTGAAATCAGGTAAAATTTTTGATATGTAGTTTTCAACAGAAAAAAAAAATTATACAGTACTAGCATTGAAAAATATAGTTGAAAACCTTTTTACTCTTGTTTAGTTTTTGATAATTTGAACTATTCATCTATTGGCATATTTCATATGCTCCATTTAATAGGTGATTAAATTGTCTTGAATGCGAAAAATTACAAGAAAAAGAAGACAAAAGTGGACAAATGCTTATTAGTGAAAATATCGCAAACTGTTTTTGTATTGGACATTCACCCAAAGAGTTATAGTCGTGTAAGAGGATGTACCAAATATTTTTTGTATATGGCTGTTTGGAAATAATAAGAATTGTTTAATAATTTGCAGCAAACTTAACGATTGATTGGTTGATGGATAATTGAGGTTCCAATGTACCATTAAACACAGGAAATTTTCGCATCCCATAACAAGTTCTGGGAATATCAGGACTCATTGCCATAAGAGGGAGATTATCTCTAGTAGGCACTTCAGTATCCTTAGGGACTGGTTACACAGTTCCCGTTCCTGGCCTGAAAGTGGACAGCTACTGCACCTGTGTACTTGTGTGACAGTAGCTCGATTCGCCTCGCCAGTCATACTGCAAGCTGCTGACATGAAAGTAGACAGTTACTGTACCTGTGTAATTGCATTAGTTCTTCGCAAATGTTGTATTGTGTTCTTTTGCAATGTTGTCACAATGTTATAAAAGAAGTTTCAAAAATACTTTGTGCTGAAAAAAATTATAAGAAAAACATTGGTTTGGGTCAGGAATTGGATGCAAAGGATTCAAAACAATGTCATAAGTTGGTTTGGTCCTTATATAACTCCACAAATTTTATAAGGCTTATGGGCTATTGTGCAATACTGTGCAAGTTGGCATCCAAGTTGCAGCCGAGTAGCTGCTCGCAGCATAGTGGCGGAAGGCAAGTGATGAATCAAAACAAAATATTGTGTAGTATGTGTAGTAACTCGGTTGCAAGTTACTGACCTACTCGTACATGACAGTTACTTGTGTAATGCGGTCACAACAGTGCAAGTAGCTGCACTGCAATAACTGACTAGGCTACCTCGGATGCTAGCTCACACCATGTAACCAGGTCCTTCGATACTGCTCTATTGCCCTCTCACGTATGTTTGTGGAATGATGAATGTATCTTACAAATGCTTCTGTGTATTTGTAATTGTTTTTAGCACACATTAAAAACAACAATTACATTTTTAGGAACCTTCTGGTACATTATTATTGATTAAAAATTATAAATTAAAGTAAGACGTAGATAGATAGATCGATAGAAAATCATCTTTATTTTGGGACTGGATCCCTTAAGAATAACAATATTGTTCATATAAATTAAAAATAAATAAAGCCTTATTACATAATAAATACTTAGCCAGCATCTGATTGAACTGTGAAGAGGAATTGGAATAAGAGATTTTTAAATGTGAATAAGGATGGTGCATGGCGGATTTTTAGTGGAATGGAATTCCCAAATGCAGTGAAACGGACAACAAAGGAATGTTTAAATGAGGCAGATCTGTGAAAAGGGGTGTAAAGGTCAGCAGGACGAGATCTTGTGGAGAGAGTGTGGATAGATGACTTGAATTGTAGGAGATTATATGTGTAAGACAGACGAAGATTATTGATTATTTGGTAAAGGAATGTGCCTAGGAAATATTGTCTTCGGAAGGAGGGGAAGAGCCACCCTCATTCAGCATAGTGGTGCAAAACACGGGAACGTCTCAGGGTCCCGGTGACAAATCATACTATAATTCTTGCATAATTTTAATAGATATTGAAAAGATAACATAAGATTTTTCTTATTTATGGGAAAAATTGCTCCTAATTTATTGTACATCCATGCTGAAAACTATAAATCAATCTCTAAGCTCTGCTTACTTTTTTCCACATGGTTCATCAAAGAAATTTAAAATACTAATTCTATTTGTAGGTATGTTGTTAAAAACACTTCAAATTAGTACAAAATGGTTTATTATTTCCTGATCGTTAAATATAAATGACATCTGAAATAACATTAAATATAAACAACATAATATCTGCTTGTAGGTATGTTATTAAAAACACTTCAAATTAGTACAAAATAATTTATTGTATTTACATAACTTTCGTTAAAACTGATACAAAAATTGTTTGCAAATATTATGTCTTCTATTCATAATCCACTTATTTTTTTTTTTTTTTTTTTTTTTTTTTTTTATCTTTATCTTTCTAGCTTAAAAATTCTTTCAAATGAGCATCTGGAATGTTCTGAGAGATATTTAATTTTCAAATTATCAATAACAAAACAAAGATAACCAGTTTCCACAGAATCATGTGCAGGATATTTTTCGAAATATGTTGTATACAAAGTTCATTTTGATAATACTGGTCCCGATTTTGATATTGTTTTTTAGTTTTGTAGGGAATTTATTTACATTTAAATGGTCATTAAAAAAGTCATAACAATTTTATTAGAATAGACTATGGTCTATTCAAAGTTCATAACACAAGATACCAGATACTTGAAAGAATAATTTAAAAAATGCAACCAAATGAGACTTAAGTCCTTGCTGTGACTTTTTGGTAAGAATGAGAGAGTGTTTTTAGAATGAGATGGCCATGCAGGCTAATGCATGAATAAAACCATAGATGGACACAATAAAAATCAAAGATTATGATTACGATTACGATTATAATAAAAAAAAAACTCAATTATTTGATTACACGATTGTAATCAAAGTCACCGTTTTTTATTTTGATTATATAATCACGTAATTATGTAATTATAATTATTGTAAACAAAATCACTGTTATCATAATAAAAGATCAAATACACACGATTTTCCTCTGTTCAGAGATAGACTAAAAGGAAAACAAGTATAATACATTTTCTATTTTCTTTTAGCTGTCGGGTGCACTTTCTATGATTATACCATCGGTTAACATTTTACATTTTCCAAATTTTCATTCGCTTTTCCTTTTTTATCTCGTGAACGAATGCTTGGTTTTTCATCACTCCAACAGTTCTCCGACTATGTAGATCTGGACGACAATGCAGAATTGGTTTAGAAAATTTTCCGAATTTCCATTCGCTGTTCTTCTTTTATCTCGTGAACAAATGCTAGAGTTTTCACCGTTTCAAAAATTTTCTAACTGGTTAGAAATAGGCCAGTGGAAACAAGAGTGGTACAAATTTTCATTCGCTTTTCCTCTTTTATCTCGCTTATGAATGCTCGGTTTTTCACTGTTCCAACAGTTTTCCAACTTTGTAGATGTAGGCAAATTGTTGAGTGTTGAAAAATTTCCCTTGATTGTTTTGAAAGTTTTCGCCTGATCTACATGGTGGGAAAACTGTTGAAACGATGAAAAACTGATTCTTTATTTCCGAGATAAAACAAGAAAAGTGATCAAAAATTCGAAAAATTTATGTCACTCCTATATCCATTGGCCTGCCTCTACACAGTTACAAAATTGTTAGAAAGATTGAAAACGGAGCATTTATTCACGAAATATAAGAGGAAAAGTGTTTGGAAATTCGAAAAATTTTCTGTATCACTAACCCATTTTTGTTTACCTTTACATAGCCAGAGAATTATTAGAACGGTAAGAAACCGATTCTTCGTTCCCGAGATAGAATGGAAAAAGCGAAAGAAAATTCTGAAAATTGTCTATACCGTTTTCTGATTTCTTCTACCCCTACACAGCCGGAAAACAGTTGGAACGGTTAAAACCTGATCCTTCATTTCCGAGATAAAAGAGAAAAAGCAAATGGAAGTTCGCAAAACTTTTATCTCTCCTTTTTCCATTGGTCTGCTTCTAAACAAAAACCTTAAAATAGTTGGCTCTACATAGCGGAAAAACCGTTGGGTTGAAACGGTGAAAACCTGATCCTTTATTTCCGAGATTAACGAAAAAAAAAAAATGAAATTTCTACCGAATTATGGAAAATTTTTACCACTTCTATTTCTATTGGCCAGCCTCTAAACAGCTATAAAATGGCTGGAACGGTGAAAAACCGAACCATTCATTCGCGAAATAAAAAAGGAAAAGAGTATGAAAATTTTACCTACCTTTACATATCCGGAAAGTTGTTCAAACAGTAAAAAAACGATCCTTCATTCCCGAGATAAAATAAGAAAAGCGAAAGAAAATTCGGAACATCTTTTACACCATTAGTCGGTTTTTGTCTACCTTTGCTTAGCGGTAAAACTGTTGGAACGCGGAAAACCTGATTCTTCATTTCCGAGATGAAAGAATGAAATTTCATAAATATTTACCACTCCTTTTTGCATTGCCGGAAAACTTGGAGTTGTGAAAACTAAACCTTCATTGCGAGATAAAAATAGAAAAACGAATGAAAATTAGGGAAATGTTAAATGTTAAATCGACGGTATTATCATAGGAAGTGCCCCCAACAGCTAAAAGTTCATAGAAAATGTTTTATGCTCGTTTTCTTTTTAGCCTATCCTTAAACAGAGGAAAATCGTGTGTATTTGATTTTTTGATTACGTGATCACACGATTATAATCGTAATCAGATTTATGATTACGATTTTAATCAGGTAATCATTTCGTACTTTTGCTATATTTATAGTGCTATTGTATCAAGTATAAAATTGGCGTGGTCATTTAGTTTTATTTTCAATTTTAATCATTGATTACGATTAATGTTGCCCAGCAACCTAATAAACTAAAGATTACCAGTTGGAATCCCGGTGCCTTTCAATGGGAGGCCTTTCAACTGTGACATTAATATCTCACCCTCTCCTTGCTGAAAAGGCAAGAAAAAAAATAATGACGAGAGAGTGCTATTTCTAGAGGAGAGCTCATTGAAAATTGTCATCATTTCAGGGTGATTTAATTTGTTATGCCCACATTAAATATTTCATTTTATGTATCGATTATAAATTAGAAATGCATTTTATTTATTGATTTATAACAATACATCTCTGATAAAAAATAATATAAAAGATTTTTAATTATCTTTGTTGGAAATACTGGTTGTTTGAGAAAAGAGATTTTATATTCTATATAAAGTGGTAGTTACAGGCTTTCAAATCATACAGACCTTCAAATTTTTTATTCAGTTTTTTAAAAAGTCCGATTCTAATTAATTAATTGATTCTAATTAAAGCTCTTTTTAAAAAAAAAAAATTGTGAATTACTGCTTACATAGTTTAACTTTCTATTCAATACAAAATGGGACAAACTTAAACAACACAAAATTAATATTTTAATTTCTTCCTTCTTCAGAATTGGACCATAACCTATATGAACTTTTCTGATGCAATTGAAGTTTCTGATATGGTGTATGTAATTTGAATTCGACACTGTTCAAAAAATATTTGACGGAATTAATATTACTGTTGGACCTTAATGTACATAATCTCTTTCTTTAGAAACTATACACATGAGGAATTTATATAACCTCAATAAATATATAGTATATACACAATGGTTCAACTCTATAACCACGGACTAATCTATTGGGGGAGGGGGGCTTTGGGGCTGAAGCCCTCCAAAAAGGTAAAATATTACCATGTTTTATGGAAAAATATATTAAAAAATTATCTCGTTAAGTATTATTGTTCGTTTAATTCCATTTAAAAGGGCTTAACTTAAGGAATCACTTAAACGCCATTTCGTATAGGTATTTAGTTTATTTTATTTTTATTTTTTTCCAAATTAATTGGGAGTGGGGTAGCTCAGTGGTAGGGCACCGAGCTTCCAATGCAAAGGTCCCGAGTTCGAACCCCGGCGGCTCATGGCAGAAAATTTATTTATCTGTTTCATTGGCCGTGGGGCGACCTTGGGTCCGAAGTCCCTCCTGGGGCACACCCAGCCCCTATAAAGTGGGTACCCTTAATTAAATAATTAATTAAGTGGGAAAACCTGGCGGTTGAGCGTGATCTCGGTCAAATCACCTCCTTGCACAACCATTGACCTAGAAACAGTGCTTTCCCTAAATAGTACTGAACCCCAGACCCTTCATGGGTTTTAGTGGTACAGGTTTTTCCAAATTAATTATCGTTGTATTTATGAAACAAATATCCGTCGGGCTGAAGCCCCTTCCCCAAAATTAAATCCTGGATCCGCTAGTGTTTATAACTGATATTATTTACTTATAGAGAATTATAAATTTTAATGTTTTTCAAACTCTAATGTTAAAAATATGTTTTAATACAATATACAAATTGTAATGATTGTTTAAAAAAATAAAAATAAGAAAGAAACTTGTTTTTCTTTAGATAAATAAATAATAAAAAGTCCTTTACTTCCATTCCATTGTCCTTATATATCATTTTAAAGCTGTGATGAACTATTTAACCACGAAATTTACCAATATATCACTATAATTACATGTAAGTATTTAGTTTTATCTTCAGGCCCAAAGGAAAAAGATGCCAAAGAGGTATTTATTTTCAATATTTGAGTAGAGAAAATTAAAGCATCAGTTTTGGTTCAGCATTTTGAAACTTTTTTAGCCATCCTTTTTTCAAATATCTGTTCCATGCTTTAATAAATATTTATAATTAAAGAATCACGGCAGATTGAAGATTTAATTCAATCATATTTCTTAAATATTCGCTTGTTTATCATAATGATGGTTTAATGAAGTCAATCAGCTAAGCAATTTTAGAAAAGGAATCAATTTCATTCCATTCACTGGATTAGGAATTTAATAAGACATCTTAATGTCAAGGAATCAGATAAAGATGACAGATCTTGTTTTTTTTCCCCCTCATCCCAAAAAAATTAGTGTATGGGAAAAAACAATATAAAAAATCTTTATATGTTCTTGGTCATTTTCTCTTCTACTGCTGAGTGATGTGAGGTGCCTTCTTGTAGAACCGAACTCACAACTCCCGATCCAAGGCATACTGCCGCCTCCTCCTCCAGTCCCATATTTTTTCTATCAAAAGTCGCTCTGAGATTTTCTTCCCAAGTCTTCTTGAGCCTTTCTTCCATCAACGATTCTCTCCA